TTTAATTTTTCAAAGTATGACTGAGCAATAAGATTTCAATTGTCCAAGTTATGATCACAAGTTTCTTTGAGTTTTGGACGAATTTGCTGTGAGTGAGCCTTGAATTTGGGGATTTATCAGATTTTTCCCTATTGAACTTGTGTGGAAAATCAAATGCCGGAGGAGGATTTAGTGGAGCTGAAGTTCAGACTGTACGATGGATCGGACATCGGCCCTTTTCGATATTCGCCGGCGGCGACTGTTGCGATGCTTAAAGAGAGGATTGTGACCGAGTGGCCAAAAGGTTCGTTTACCACTTGTGATTTTTATGTTCCATTTTTTTTTATGAATCTTGAGCTAGAAATTAATGTGGATGTGCGTGTGTGTGGTTTTGAGTGTGTTTGATTAGATGGCTGTTATTAGTTGTTTGATTAACCTTGTATATTTCAATTTGGCTTCCATTCTGCACATTTACTTACTGAATTTGAAGAATGGAAGAATAAGCTTTTATTTGTCTGAGCGTTGTTAAGTCGGTCTGATGAAGTTCTGAGAAACGTTATTTGGAAAACAAGAATACGTATGTGTGGCAGTTTGTTTCAGCATGAATTCAGGATTTTCGTCATATGAAAATCTTGTGTATGCCGCATAAGAATTTCTGCTCTAAGCATACTTATATTGCTCCGAATCGTGATATAGTGTGTTAAAAAAGTCATGCTAAACGGATTCTTTTAGCAATTTAGCATGCTTTTCTATGTGTAATTGAGTACAAGTTGTCTACATTATCAGATAAGAGAATTGCGCCGAAGGTAGCAAATGACGTGAAATTAATAAGTGCTGGGAAAGTTTTAGATAATAGCAAGACTGTTGGCCAGTGCAAGATGCCATTTGGGGATCTACCTAACGGGATTATTACAATGCATGCTGTTGTACAGCCATCTTTGGCAAAAGTGAAAACAGGTGAACTCTTTGACTTATCTGCTTTTATTCTACAATTAACACCTATTTAGTGTGTTGGTTACTTAAGCCTTTGAAGATGGACCTTTGTTCTCTGGAGTTCCAGCTTCTAGTTGCATGCTTCTATTGCAGATGGTTTCAAGATTTCTTGTTCACGTTATTTTATTGTAGCTCTGGATATTGTTTTCTGACGGGTTCGCATCATGTTGTTACCATCAGAGTGTTGTGGTGATTATCATTATTAGAAGCTTAGTAAATGAACATTGAATTTAATACTATCTTGAGGTTACTCGAGTGTTCTTAAGAAGTGTTATGGTGAGTAGAAGTGAGAAAGAGTTAGAGAGGTGTAAGTTTTTACAGGGAAAAGTATGATTATACACAGGTACCGATGAATTTTAGCTAATCATAGGGTTGGCACAAGATTGTTGTAGGACTTTTCTCTAAAACCACTATTTTCGCGTTATTTTAACAGAGTAAATTATTATATATTAATTATATAAGTATGTAATGCACTGTTACTCTGGTCTGGAGGCACTCCTCTCACTCCATGGCTTGCTTTCTTTGTCTATCATTTTCTTCCCCTGCCCCTATGCCGACTCCATGCCTCCTTGTGTTTTTATGTGAGTCTCAGTGCAACATTTTCAAAATTTCATATGAGAAAATGGTAAAAGAGTGCAATTCAAAATCTTTTCAGTTTTCATCATCTTACATGTTAGTTTATGCTATGAATGGTGTTTGTCAGTTGTCATGCTACTATCTTACTGCTTCCAAATATGGGATATGCCAATTTTATCTTAACGAATTCTAGTTTTATAGGTTTTATGTTCCTTCATCTCTTTAGTCTACCAGAGCCAAATTTTCCTTTAGTATGATCATCGTTATGATTATAATTATCTTTTTCTTTACATTAACGAGTCCATGTAATTATCTCTACATCATATCTTGAAGCCTTGTATTCTTCATTTCATTCTCATCTAATTGCTTAAGCAGCTAAAAGTTTCCCATTGTACCCACAGAAAAGGAGGTCGACGAAATACCGAAGAAGAATATATGTTCGTGTTCCATATTGTGAGAGTTAAAAAGTTCTGATTCAGTGTGAGCTTGTTGGGGAAGTTTACCTGCCCTGTCAACATGTGAAGTCACAAAAGGACTATAATTTGTAATAGTACCAATATTCATTATTTTGTGTATGCTTGATGACATTGATTTGTAACAGCTATATATATGTTCTCTTTGTTGTATTCACATTTCTGTGAATTTGGTGCTTGCCAATTCTTTATATACAGTGAGAATAAGTTCTGTGGGCTATGTGACCCTGAGAAGGGTAGCTCTCGTGGTGAAGACTAGACAATTATATAAGTTCATTTTTAGTTACACAAATACATAATGCTTGTACATCCAATTTTATAGATTCAAATTCAGCAGTTTATGTTGAATTTAACCATGTGAAAGAAAACAATGTTTTGTGTGCTTATTTGATTAATCCTATAAATGTTTTCTATTCTTTTTAATTAATAGAACTAATTAAAAAAGACCCATCTACTGAAATATGCACTCATTCATCCTCTCTTTTCTACACACAATAACAGCAAATGAAATTCACATGTTTTTGTTTTATATGCATAGTGAAAAACATTGGTACCCTGATATCGAGCTCTTCTTCTTCTTCTTCGTGCCATGTGCCCAGTTTTCGGACAACATCGGAAGAGATTTTGATCAAATCCACACAAACCAATTTCTGCATATACAGCCTCAATGCATTGAGTTATAGGCCATCCAAGAGAGACACCGAGTTGTGTGGAAAATGAAATCAAGCCCTGTCTTGCAATTTATTTGTTGCACTACTATAGTAATATCTATTGGAAAATTGTATTGATGTCAAGTTTTTATGGAAGAGATGATCCTCTTCCAATCTATGTTTTGTGTTGCTGAGCAGTTATGTGTACGTTTAGAAGATTTTTGTCATGTTCAAATATTATGCTGAATTATTTGTCCAAGGGAAATTTTTTTCGCAATATTTACACATTTGGAGTCAGCTTAGTATTACAAAATCAATTAGTTAACGAATACATTTTATGTCACTTGTATTTGTCATGTTTGATAAAACTCGACACCATAAATGGAAAAGTGATGAAGACGAGATCGCGATCGCGTATTTGAATAAATACGACCGACTCCAGGTTTAATTATTTATTTCACATCATTATTAGTACTCTTTTGATTTTTATTTCCTTTATTTGCTTTATTAAGTATGGTAGGAAAATAAAAGACTTGCAGTGTTTTGGCAAGTGTAGGATTCTTATTTTATTCTCCTTTGGTATTTATGCTGAAAGAAACGATGAGAAGGGCAGATGATTGATGAATAAAGTTTTCTGATTGTTCGTTCTTGAGAGAGTATCTCATATTATCCCAAATTGTACTACGCTCTACATCAGTTGGTATCAGCATGAATTTTGTGCTGGGCTTACCTCGTACTCAGCAGGGTTTTGACTCCATTTTTGTGGTCGTTGACAGATTTTCGAAGATGGTTCATTTTATCCCGTGCAAGCGGACCACTGATGCGGTGCATGTGGCACAGCTGTTCTTTCGTGAGGTTTACCGTCTCCATGGCCTCCCTTCTTCGATTGTGTCGGATCGTGACACTCGCTTTCTCAGCCACTTTTGGCGTAGCTTGTGGCGCATGGCGAACACTCGCTTGGACTTTAGTAGCGCATACCACCCGCAGACTGACGGCCAGACGGAGGTGGTGAATCGTTCTCTGGGCAATTTGCTCCGGTGCTTGGTGGGCGACAATCTGCGCAGTTGGGACCAACGTTTGAGCCAGGCTGAATTTGCTCACAATTCAGCTGTTAGTCGGGCCACGGGCCTCTCCCCGTTTGAGACTGTTTATGCTATCCAGCCCCGTGGACCGTCGGATTTGGTGGCGCTGCCGCCTCTGCAGGGGGGTGATCGTCGGGCTGCCGACCTTGTCGCCGATCTCCAGGCGACTCATGCGGCGGCGAGGGCCCAGCTGGAGGCCACGACCGAGGCCTACAAGCGTCGCGCCGATTCCACGCGTCGCCATGTCGAGTTTTCAGTTGGTGATTTTGTTTGGGCCGTGTTGACGAAGGATCGGTTTTCGGCGCATGAGTTTAATAAATTGTCGGCCCGCAAGATTGGTCCGGTGGAGATCGTTGAGAAGATCAATCCGAATGCGTATCGCCTCCGACTTCCTTCGCATCTTCGTACGTCGGACGTGTTCAATGTGAAGCATTTGGTTCCTTTTGTGGGCGACAACTCCGATGAAGACGAGACCGGTTCGGATTCGAGGCCGAATCCTCCTCAACCGGGGGAGGATGATGAAGACGAGACCGCGATCGCGTATTTCAATAAATACGACCGACTCCGGGTTTAATTATTTATTTCACATCATTATTAGTACTCTTTTGATTTTTATTTCCTTTATTTGCTTTATTAAGTATGGTAGGAAAATAAAAGACTTGCAGTGTTTTGGCAAGTGTAGGATTCTTATTTTATTCTCCTTTGGTATTTATGCTGAAAGAAACGATGAGAAGGGCAGATGATTGATGAATAAAGTTTTCTGATTGTTAGTTCTTGAGAGAGTATCTCATATTATCCCAAATTGTACTACGCTCTACATCAAAAAGGATTATTTTAGGAATTGAATGTTGTGTGTTCATTCAAAATAATATACATCCCACTTAAGAAATAGACCCTTTCTAGAAATATAATATATTTCAATGCAAGAGCAAGTGGACCGGGTGGAGCTTATGTGGTAGAAAAAAGAAAAGGAGATCCCGTCTAGACTAAAGTCTATTTTAGACCCAACTAGAGACCTAGTATTTTGTATTGGAGTTTAATTTTGTTACTTTTATATATTTTTGACAATGTCATCCAAAACTTAGATCTATTCACATATCACATAAGAGCATCCACAATGCATTGGGTCTAATTTTACATATGTGGCATATAAATAGATTTAAGTCCTAAATGACATGGACAAACCCAAATAAAAAAACTCAAAAGCTATTCAATGCAAAAATAAAATACTAGGTCTAGCATACATGTTCAACCAATAAAAATGCTCTAATATGTTTCATTTATTTAAAGAAAATTTAAATGATGAATAAATGATGAGTGTTTGAGTTTGTACTTGGGTCCAAATAGACCCAAGTATAGATTTGGTCTCATTTTTTGATTGTCACATAAGTTAGACCTAGTCTATTTTTGATTGCATTGGAAAATATTTTTTAATAGACTAAGTCCATTTCCTACACGACATATGATATTTTTGTAAGAGACCCAAAGCATTGTGGATGCAATCACAATTAGACCCAAAGCGTTGTAGATGCTCTTACTACAAATTCACTACAAATTCATGATCGGATGTGAATAGAATGATAACTTTATTCTCGATTCTATAAATTTTTTTCATTGTTTTGAAAACCGGACTGGACCGGCCGATTCAATCGGTTGGACCGGGAACCGGCCCTCATCCGGTCCAGTTTAAGCCATCAAACCGCCAAACAAGTGAACCGGTCAAGAACCACTCGAACCAGACCAAAACCGGTCAAACCGGGATCGGATCGAATGGTTCACCGGTTCAAACTTATGAATTTGAAATTGGTTCATTATGATGTGATTTAAATAGATTACTTTTTTTACGTGTATTTTCTATGTGGGATATGTTCATTTGCTGAAATTATTGGGTCAATATTGGACGTAACAAGTAAAATTGTACTTATTAAAAAATATATATATTTTTTTTTAAATAGACTACTTATTGGGATATATCTATTCCAAATTTATTTAAAAGTTGAAGCAATTTAATTGTTATGAACATTATTTTTATTTTTTATTGTTTTAATCAATAATAAGAAAATTAAAATTTGATTTAAAATGAAAATTGAGTTGTTTCTATCCCATCTATTTTGTAACATAAATATAAATTAAATTTTGAAATATAAAAATAAAATAAAAAAGTTAACAACAATATTCAACATTGTCGGTTGTATCTATTATTAAACTATTACTTAGAGAAATGTCATACACTATAAAACTACTGACAATATATATATATATATATATATATATATTATACATATTGACAAATAATAAATTATATACTAATTGAAACGATTCGACCGCTGATCCGACCAGTGAACCATTGAACCAGTAGTTTCAACGGTTCGATGACCTGTTTGGTTTTTAGAACCATGATTTTTTTAATGAACAGTTCCATTTCCTTCTCTCGATGGAAGTTTGATTTTCCGAGAATCTACCAAAGCTCGACTAGAGTTCGAGTTTGATCGAGCTCCAACACCTCGGACATCAGCTCGAATCAAGCTCCAACTTGTATTTCGTAAACTTAATTGCTCGACGAGCCACTAAAAATTATGTGTGTAATCAATTAGATATCTATACTCAAGTTAAATTGGGGACCAAAATCGAGCAAACTTCTCCATAAATTCAAATCAATCTTAAATATTTTTTTAATATTGTCAAATCGAGCCCTTGCAAGCTTGGCTCGACGAGCTCTAGCAGCAGGTAAACAATTCAAGATTGGCTTGATTAAAGGATTACTCAGACTCCACTCGACTCGACTCGACTCATTTGACACTCGAGACATACGGTCCAATTTGGGGCATCAGATAGTGAGGATTTGGCCCAAGAACTTCATTGCATCCTTCATTTGAAAGTGTATGTTGGCCCATTTAACAAAATTTTGTCTTACATGATCCAAAAGGATTTCGGGCTCTCAGCCCAGCATAAAACCCTAGTCTCCAATCTCCACCCTCCACACTCGGCAACTGAGGCATATTTTTTAGGGTTTCGCAATCCTTCCCCAGACTCACACAACCCCATCGCTCACAACTGAAAGGAAATGGTAATGCTAGTCTCAGTTTTGTCTAGACATGGCGATTCGCCTATTCTGTGCTTTGCATGATTATTTTACTCTTTATGTGACACCATTTTATAGGCTCCGAAAAAGGGCGTTAGGGCGCCGACGACTGCCAAAAAGAAGACGAAGAAGGTTGTGAATCCTCTGTTCGAGAAGAGGCCGAAGCAGTT